TGGATCCATAGAGATAGAGACCTACTAGACTCCATGTGGAAGGTGAGGTGGATCCATAGAGATAGAGACCTACTAGACTCCATGTGGAAGGTGAGATGGATCCATAGAGATGGAGACCTGCTAGACTCCATGTGGAAGGTAAAATGGATCCATGGAACTCGAGGCCTGCTAGACTCCATGTGGAAGGTGAGGTGGACCCATGGAGATAGAGACCTGCTAGACTCCATGTGGAAGGTAAGATGGACCCATGGAACTCGAGGCCTGCTAGACTCCATGTGGAAGGCAGGCCTGAGATGGAGACACCATGTGGAAGGCTGACACTAAGAGGGCTTACCAAGGCACAGGAGGGACGGCAAGATTGCATGGGACCAACACAGTGAATGTGGACATATTCAGGAAGACTAAACCCAGTGTCTGCAGCTCAGTGAAACTGCCAGTGTCCACAGAGGACACTGGACACGTAGCTGGTGTGTCAGGAGGAAACCCACAAGAGTGGAGCTGAAGCCACACGTGGCAACTGCCACTGTCTGACTGGATGGGTRTGAATGAGTACATTAGCTTTTCGGTTTTTATGAAGAATTTAAGCATAAAGAATTAAAAACACTTTATATAAAATTGACAGCATATATCAAATGTTGCTAGGAATCTGTACCTGAAAATCTGTATATGCTACATAAGCTGATAGATTAATTCATGCCGAGCCACATTTAAATGTTATACAATCCATAAATCTTTATTTCATCCTGTGTCCTAACATCATTAAGGAAAATGGAGCATGTCCCGGGAAAGCCCGATGAGAACACTTCAGCTCAAGCTGATTCATCGACACAGACAGAACCCAGACATCACAGCCCCCAAGACAGACCACAGACAGAACCGCAGGCAAGGCAGCCKCGATGCTTGACTCACACAGGTGAAGCCACAACACAGTCCAAGTCACACATTATGAAGATCTGAGTAAAAATAGCTCCGCGTATAGTCTTCAATTTTTTTTTAAGGAAAGGAAATTTAATGTGCAGACAGTAAATTGATCTTCTCATCTAAAATCAAAGAGAGGAGAAGAGGGAATAAAATGAGCTACTTGGCTTACATTTTAATGCCCAGATGGGTCTGGGTGGTAGGCATGGAAAGACATGCAAGGTCCCCCGTGGAGCCACCAGTGTAGCCACACAYGACTTGAATTCCACAAATGGGTCCTCACTCACTGCAGAGTCTTCTCTGAGTAGTTATGAAAGGCAGTGACCCTTTACTTCTGCTTTCCTTATRGCTGTGATCTCTTGAGTTGTAGCTCTCCGTCTGTATTACCGACCCACTAAGGCCCCGGATCCAGCCTCTCAGGAGTCCTTTGGATATAAGACTAAGATTCACAAAAGTGAGGAGAGGAGAAGAGGTGATGGGAAGAGCTGAAGTAATCTTCCTTCCACGTTCAAGTTCAGCTTTGGCCTCTGCTTGAACCTGGGCCTCCACCTGGTCCCCCATTCAAAACCATTTACTGAGGAATGCACAGCTCCTTTCCAAACACTCTTTTGTGCTCTTGGACACACGAAATGAGTAAGACAGAAAAGTTCTTATTATCCCAAAATTAATGTTCCAATGGGGAAGAGAAAATGCATTTTAAAATAAACTAAGTAGACATGAATTATTCTAAGAATAAGAATATTAATTTGCTTTCAAAACTCAAAGGAGGATGAGGTGGCCGGACTAGATAAATAGCAAAGAGGAAGCAAGAGTGGGCAGCTTCATGTCCATGCTGATGCCCACTCAGGAATGGTGAGTTAAGCAAGTACAAGAATGTTGGTGGGAAGGTGGAAGGCCATGGGAGTGCAGGTCCACTCAGTGASCTCCCTGTGGTGCAGTCTGCTGTGGTTTCTGCTGCTGCTCACTCCAGGGGCTTGGGTTCCTGATGATCCTCCACGTCAGGCCCACAGAGCTCCCACAGATGCTGCAGTTCCTGTCATCCATCATTATTGGCCCCTCCTTCCATCCTGTCACCTCCCAAGGCACTGGCCAAAGTCTTCGATARATGGAAGTGTGCCTCTTTGCACGGTAGCCACTTTGGGAAAATCCACTCCTTGCTGGAACCCCAGCTCCAGTTGGATTTTCCATGGATTATTCCGCCTCAATTCTTATGTGTAAAGCATAAACCAAGCTGTAAAGAGCATACTGGGTGTCTGATGGAGAACCGGCATGCAGGCAGGTGAGCTGTAAACACATAGGAGAGTGTGTGCAACAGTACTAGAGTTTTGGAAACCTGCATACAGAAGACCAGGGCATCAGGAACGCCCGTGAGGCTGAAAGGCTGGCACAGCATTAGCAGCAATGGTGAAGGCTGAGTGCATCCTTGCACAGAGCATGGCAAAGAGTGGCTCAGGTGAGGAAGCCGCTCACTACACCATTTTGCTGGGRCAACCGGAGGGTGAGATCAGGAATAGGTAACTTCTGTGTTATACGCTGCCTGTGGGGCAGAAGCAGATAATACTCCTGATGCAATGCTGAAATGTTAGAAAAAAARAAATCATTGTTTCCAATGTTGAATCAAGAATTCGTGGGGCTTTTTGWATTTTAATGCAAAGGAATATGCAACACTGATGCCTGTTGAGAAAAATCCATTTCAAAAYTGAAATTACTGATCCTGAAAGGGTCAGACAAAGCTTCTCATGTGTCTACATGAGCTTTCATTTCAATTCATGAACCTAGACAATATTTTTCCTGTTYGGGGAATTGATCCTGGGATCTTGTCCTTGCCTAGCTAGAGAGCATTCCACCACTGAGCCCTGTCGCAGCCCGAGCCTAGACAATCTGCCGGCAATCCTAGGTTTAAATATGGCCTGGTTCATCACCATAGAAGCAGAGGTCTTCGACTTTCCAATCTCRTCAGGTAGTTCCAACAGCTGGGAAGTCCTGTGTTACCACTTGTTCAAAAGAAAATGTAAGGAAAGGCAGCAGCTCTGTGTGTGCATTTCCAAATTCCATTTTCATCTGTAGTGCAAAAYGAAGAAAAGAAAGAGCTACGGCAACTGCACAGTAGCACCCAACAAGCTTCGTGTGCCTGCACTCACTGTGAACATAAACTGCTCACAGGATTGACTGACTTACAGCAAACTTTACACAAGCAACTTGATAAACCATCTCAATTCAAATTCAGTAACACAAGAAGAACAAGGGTGGAGGGTTTGGGTTCTAATTATTTTTAATCTAGAACCATAAAATATGACAAATATTTTGTATACTCAATATGACAAACTCAGGGTTTACAAAATTTAACTRTTTTTGTTTTTCATTGACGCACATGTTTATGGGGCACATTGTGAAGTTCTGACACATTTACACATTGTGTAATGATCCAATCAAGCTATTTAGAATATCTACCACCTCAAACATTCATCATTTCCCTGGGATAGGAACATTCTCAATCCACCTAGTGGTTACTTTGAAACTTGTAATGTAGCACTCCGGCCATCCTCTGGGCCTCAGAACCTGAACTATTCCTGCTGCCCACTGCAGCTTGCGCCCCCTGACCAGGGTTCTCCACTGCTCTCCACTCCCCAGCCCCCAGTCCACACTCTTCTGCTCAGTACTTCTGGGAGACCCACGTGTCAGGCCTGCACATAAATGATCTGGTGGGGCACTCGTCTTTCTGCTCCTGGCTCACTTCCTCCAGTCATGTGACTACGGCAAATGACAGGTTTTCGCTCTTAGGGTTGAGTGGCATCCTGTGGAGTGCCTGTGTCCAGTGTCTCCGTCCACTCATCTCCTGGTGGACACTCCGTGACGCCACACCTGCTGCTGAGGACGTGCAGCAGTAGGAGCGCAGGGGTCTCTTCTGGGCACCGACTTCCTTCCTTTGGCTGTGGGTGAAGATGGGCTTGCTGGATGCCACGCAGCTCCATCTTTAATCCGTGAGACGCCTGCCTGCTCCTGCCCAGGGCTGTGCTGGCCACCTGCTCCCCGAGCTCCTTTGTCCTCTCCAGCACTTGCTATGCTGGTCTCTTTACTACAGATATTCTAGCAGGTCGGACATGATCTCTCCTTCTGCTTTCCATTTGCATCTTGGTTTATAACATTTGACTTCAACATCTTTCTGAGGCAAATGCAATTGATATTACAATTAGATGATAGTAGAATTATAACACAACAGGAAAAGAAAATGGTATCAGCTGTTTTCTCATTAAAATGTCCTTCCAGGTCATGAAGAGCAGAAGTGGTATGTGCACATCATGGTCTCTCCCGTGACTTCTCATTCCCTCTGCTGGTTTCATGTGCTTTACATCCAGAGACAGCCTTAGGCYACTCACAGTGTCCACCTGCACTTTGCAGGTGCCAATTATCGTGTTAGTACTTTGGTAAAAGGTCAAGAATTTTAAATGTTCTGCAGTTACACGTTTTCTTCCTTAAACCCTGTTATTTGCAAGCATTATCTCCAAGAAGTTAAGGTGTTTAATGAATGCATATCTTCTTTACTGTTTGAAAAAAAGACCCTTCAGTCTATACAATGTGGAAAATGGAAATATATGTCTATAGCATGTACACAGAATTCCCATCTATATATTTCATCTTCATACACACATTCATCTTTAGAAACAACACTATAATAGGGTTATATTCATGACTAAAGATAAAATGCCCAAAGCATATTTGCAAATGGTCACAAGTAATATATTTTAGTATGAGGTTGAACCCTATAGTGACCTGATAATCAAGATTGCTATTTGTTCTTAAGATTTTGAGGAGTAGATCTGTGTAGAGAAAGGGGTTGTCAATAGCACAGGGAGCCTGAGGGTCTCACAAGGGGTGGGGTCCCAGTGCCCCTGCTGGGCAGAGGGTGAGGGTCAGTGGGAGCCAGAACAATCTATGTGGATGTGGACAAGTACCTTGCCTGCACCCGAGTTAGAGAAAAATCATGTGTGACTGTCTGGGATGCRTCAACTGACTGCAGTGCTCCTGCTGCCACTCAGAATAGGTGCTTTCTAACAAACTGTGGATCAGAACCCWTCCTACGTTCAATGCTCAGAGCCACTGCTGAAGGACAGCAGTCATTCTCCAGTCTTCATTTCTAACTAGCTGTTCTACCTCCAACAGAAAATGTGGTAGGCAAGCCAGGTGTGTGTCACTTTAAGGCACCCCTCAGCCAGCTGGCTGTGACTCCCCACGGAATGCACACCCACCGAGCACCCAGACAGCCACACTGGCTCTTCCTGCCGCCCAGCCCTGGCCAGCGCAGGCCACCTACCATCGCAGCTGGGCAAGGCATGGTTCCACTGATGGTTCTGCTCGCAGACCAGGGGCTCCTCGTCACTCAGTGTGTACCCCGGGTCACAGCTGAAGGTCACAGTAGACCGGATGCCAAAGTCCCTGCCATGCCGTCGGCCATTCACAGGGATGCCTGGGTCCAGGCAGGAGTCGGTCTCGAGGGTCACACCTGGAGGCACAGAGACACATCACCACGGGAGGTTAGCTGAGAAAGTGTGTGAGCTGTGGAAACGCAGCATGCTCTCAGACACAGTCAGCAGGAGAAAGCCTGCAGCAAAGTGACCCATTACCAAGCTGATTAGCAAGAATCCAACAATCCATTAATGTAAAAACAAGGTTTTTCAAATACGTGACTCTGTTTTTCAAATTAGAGAGATTCATATTGGTATGCTATTTACCAGAAGATATCTAAATGGTACGACCTTGAATAATTCATTAACCTCTGAATTTTACTTTTCTTCATGGGAAAATCAATGAACTGCTAAATGAAGGCCAGTATTCTCCCTCCAGCCATCGTCTTACTTTCATGATCTATGTCATAAGGTTGTGGCAGTCACACTATAACTTTCCTATCTGTGCACACACACAGGGATCGATACTTAGGATGAATCTAAGACTATACTGGAGTTGATTTTCCAAAAATGCATTCCACCAATCACACAATTTCAAAATCTGCACTGAAGTCAGCCACTTTTGAGATGGCTCCGATTAGCCCATACTAAAATATGTGCAAAGATGAGTGCTTCACCTAGTAACTAGATCCAGTCTCCAAAGAGTGTCTTTATTCCATGTCACATTTCTTGCCTTCTAGAATAGTACATATTTTAAATCATGATGAAAGTTAGGGGGGAAAAAAGAATAGCATTACAATGTTCCCAAATGCCAAAAATAGGCTTGCTGCTGCTATATGTCACCCTTGGTAATGTTTGGAACACAAACCATGATCTGAAATATTAGTAAAAAAAAATATATTAAAATAGTTCCAATGTTCAGATGGTTAAGTTCCCCATGGTCCTGGGACACTATTTTTTTTTTTTTTAATATTTATTTTTTAGTTCTCGGCGGACACAACATCTTTGTTGGTATGTGGTGCTGAGGATCGAACCCGGGCCGCACGCATGCCAGGCGAGCGCACTACCGCTTGAGCCACATCCCAAGCCCCCTGGGACACTATTTTTAATACCTACATTTTAACAGAGTTTGAGGGGTGTGGCTTATGAATAGCCTTCCCTCCTAAGCCTACTACTGAATGCTAATTCTGGGTGATTTTTTAAGTAATAAGTGATGAGGGTAATAACTCCTGTTGATATAGTGAACTGTCACCCAGGGGGCCGTGGGACACACAGTGGCTCAGCGCTACTCGCTGCGGGGAGGAATCCGCCAGCAGGGAGGCCCAGTCGAACACACCATGGCACAGGGCCCGGTAAGAGCTCTGGACCCAGAGCTTGGGAATCCTGGGTCAGCAGCAGGCCATGCTCCAGCCTGCTGTGGTTTGGACCCCCAAGTTTTACCCTGTGTCCTTCCTGCTGGCTCCTTCTGCTTTATCTCCTTTTCCTGTCATAAACAGGAGGCTGAGTCTCCTAGACTCAATGTTCTTTGAGTCCTTCTAGTTATCAATCCTAGGGTGGTCTGGACACCTGGGACGGACCAAGGTATCAGAACTGAGCGAGTGCAGGCCTGGCCTTCTGCAGGCTGTGTGCCTGACCCCGTGGCCAGCGCTGTGGTAAGTGCTCGCTCCCGTGGTTAGGGTTCCTCAAGGCTGGTTGTGCTGGTGGGTGGAATGCTGAAGGGAAAAGAGGCAAATTAAACAAGGAACAGCAGACTCCAAGATGGCGAGCAGGGGAGAACCCTGACTGGCTGACTCTGGGTGAGTGGTGGACCTTTTCCCTCACAGGGCTCTCCTTCAGGAACGTCAGCTCAGGGAGCCTGGGACAGGATGTTAAACAGYGGTTTGTTGGAAGCCCAGCCCAGGACCTCGGGAAACTGGAGTCGCACTTGGCGGGGGAAGCGGCCACCAGCCAGAGCTGGGCCCCGGGGCAGATGCTTAGAGGTGAGCCCCGCGGAGTTGTGGCGGCCGGGGACACAGGGCTGCGGACCTTCAGGGCTGGAGCCGGTCAGACTGCCATCGTGTCACCACAGGGCACCGGACCAGGACCGAATTCTGGACCCAGCGTGGGAACAGAACAGCCCAGCTCCCCCTCCTCACTGGACGCCCCAGGCGTCGCCATCTTGGAGAACCTACCTCATGACTCTGGGCGGGTGCAGCACACAGCCATGGGCGTCTGAGCAGGTGTGGACCCCCAGCTCCCCACCTCACTGGACGCCCCAGGTGGTGGCCATCTTGGAGAACCTACCCCATCCACTTGGCGGGTGGAGCACACAGCCATGGGCGTCTGAGCAGGTGTGGACCCCCAGCTCCCCACCTCACTGGACGCCCCAGGCGTGGCCATCTTGGAGAACCTACCCCATGACTCTGGGTGGGTGGAGCACACAGCCATGGGCATCTGAGAGGTGTGGACCCCCAGCTCCCCCCTCCACCCAGCTGTGACAACCCAGAACCTTCCTCGCCAGCTCCCGGGGCGTGGCCATCAGAGGGAATAGGACAGAACAACCCCCTCTCCACGTGAGGACGTGGTGACCACCCAGCACAGAGACGGCCTCAGTGGATCAGGACCAGAGGTCCATCAAATGGGGCCTGGTGGGCAGGAGAGGGGTGGGGGATAGAGACCCAGAGCATCCCAAAGAGACCGGGATTGGAGAGGCACCCGGCAGGGGAGGGAGATCCGCCCGAGACCCGCCCCACATCCGCCCCACATCCGCCCCACGTGGATGGCGTCCCCCACCCTGAGGGCAGAGAGGCAGCCGGGATGCACAGCGCCCCCTACTGGAAGAGAAGAAAACAGAATTCCAGGAGTGCATTTTTTTCCTTCTTTCTTTTTATCTTTTTCTTCTCTCTTTTCCTCTCTCTTTTTCCATTCCTTTCTCTCTCTTTCCCCCCTCTCTTTCTGCTTTTCTTTTTGCTTTTCTTCCTCCTTCTTTTCCTCTCTCAACCTCCCAAGTGTTACTATTTCTACTAGGTATAATTTACTAAATGCAAATAGGTGTTTGCTTCTTATTGTCCTCCCATGTACTTAACTACCCTAAAATACCTCCTGTCTAGTCTCCTGCTAATAACCCCTTCATGAGAGTTCTCCTCCAAGGTAGCTAAGGTATATTAACCCCATACCCTCACATCATGACATCCTACGCCCAACCCTCAGTTCTCTATATGCCACAGAAACTGTATGTCTTTTATGAAGCTAATGAATATATTTTAAGTTGTAATTGAATCCAACATCTCTAGACATAGAGACTAACTATAAATATATTAATAACAAAAACTAGCTCATAGATGATATATAGTTGATATTGGAAACTGTTTACATTCATTGTCTCCCATCACAAAGGAGAAATCTCGGAACATTACAAGAAGAACACAAATCTATAGGGGAAAAACAACAACACAACTATCACACTGAACTGGAAAGAAACATGACCAACATGAAAAGACAAGGAAAGAAAGGACCAGAAACAATGCAGGTTAACTCAACATTAGAGGAGATAAGATCTGCAGGTCAGGTAAAGATTTCAGGATATACATGGTTCAGAGGATCTGGAGACTCCAGGAAGACTTCAAACAGCAAATGCAGACAATGAAAGATCACTTTGACAAGGAATTACATAAACAAATCCAAGAAGCAAAAGATCAACTCTACAGGGAGATAGAGGTTATGCAAAAAACAAACAGAAATCCTGGAAATGAAGGAAACAATAAACCAAATTAAAAGTTCAAATGAGAGTATCACCAGCAGAGTAGAACACTTAGAAGACAGGACATCAGACAATGAAGATATTTCATCTGAAAAAGAATGTAGACAGCTCAGCAAGACTGATAAGAAACCTTGAGGAGAACATCCAAGAAATATGGGCTAGCCTAAAGAGGCCAAATTTAAGAGTTACAGGAGGGTATAGATGTCCAAACCACAGGAATGAGCAATCTGTTCAATAAAATACTTTTAGAAAACTTTCCAGACATGAAGAATGAAACAGAAATCCAAATCCTAGAAGCCTACAGGACGCCGAACGTACAAAACCACAAGAGATCCACACCAAGACACATTATAATGAAGATGCCCAACATACAGAACAAGGAGAGAATGTTAAAAGCCACAAGAGAAAGGAAGCAGATTACATTTAGGGGTAAACCATTAGGTTAATGGCTGATCTTTCAACACAGTCTCTGAAAGCTAGAAGATCCTGGAACAACATATTTCAAATGCTGAAAGATAATGTCTTCCAACCAAGAATCTTGTATCCAGCAAACTTAAGCTTCAGGATTAAAGATGAAATAAAAACCTTCCATGATAAACAAAAGTTACAAGAATTTGCAGCTAGAAAACTGGCACTTCAAAACATCCTTGGCAAAACATTACATGAAATGGAAATGAAAAATAACAATGAACACCAACAGCTGGAGGTAGGACAGTAAATGAAAAACTAATCAAAAAGGAAAAAAATCAAGTTAAATAACAAAAATAAACAAATATGGCTGTAAATACAAACCATATCTCCATAATAACCCTAAATGTTAATGACTTAAATTCACTATTCAAAAGACATAGGCTAGTAGACTGGATTACATCAAAAGACCAAACAATAGGCTGCCTACAGGAGACTCATCTGATAGGAAAAAAAATACACAAACTGAAGATGAAAGGTTGGGAAAAATCATACCACTCACATGGATTGCAGAAGCAAGCAGGGGTCTCCATATTCATATCAAATAAAGTAGACTTCAAGCCAAAATTAACCAAAAGGGATACAGAAGGACACTATATACTGCTTGAGGGAACCATTCACCAACAAGACATAACAATCATTAATATATATGCCCCAAACAATGGTGCAGCTATGTTCATCAAACAAACTCTTCTTAAGTTCAAGAGTCAAATAGACCACAACACAATAATCATGGGTGATTTTTACACATATCTCTCATAACTGGACAGACCTTCCAAACAAAAGTTGAATAAAGAAACTATAGAACTCAATAACACAATTAATAACTTAATTGACATATACAGAATATGTCAACCAGCATCAAGCAGATGCACTTTTTTCTCAGCAGCA